TAAAGTGTTCATATAGGTGAGGATTTATTTCTGGGGTCTCAGTTCTATTCCATTGGCTTATATGTCTGTTTTTTATGCCTTTACCATACTGTTTTGATTGTTATAACTCTGGGATTTAGTTTGATACCAGGAAGTGTAATGCCTCCAGCTTTGTTCTTCTTTCTCAGGATGCTTTGGCTACTTGAGGTCCTTTGACGTTCCACATACATTTTAGGACTGTTTTTTCTATTTCTGTGGAAAATGTCATTGGAATTTTGATAGGGGATGCATTGAACTTATCATTTTGGGTAGTATGAACATTTTAACAATATCCATTCTTATGATCCATGAACAATGCATATTTTTCCATTCATTTGTGCCTTCAATTTCTTTTACCTATGTCTTATAGTATTCAATATATAGATATTTCACCTCCTTGGTTAGATGTACTCAAGTATTTTACTGGTTTTGATGCTGTAGTAGATGGGATTTTCTTTACCTCCTTCTCAGATGGTTTGTTCTTCATGTACAAAAATATAACTGTTTCATGAATGTTGGAATGGTATCCTGCAACTTTAATGATTTTGCTAGTTAGTTATAAGAGATTTTTGCTGGAGACTTTGGATTTCCCATATATAAGATGATATCATCTGCCAACAAAAACAATTTTACTTCTTCCTTTCCAATTTGGATGCCTTTTATTTATTTATTGTCTAATTGCCCTGGCTAGGACTTCAAATACTGTATTGAATAGAGGAAGTGAGAATGGGCACCCTTCAGTTGTTCCTGATCTTAAATTTTCAACCTTTCATCATTGAATATGATGTTACCTGTAGACTTGTCATATAAGAACTGTATTATGTTGAGGTACTTTCCTTCAATACTCATATTGGTGAAAGTTTTTATCATGAAAGGATGTTGGATTTTGTCAAAACCTTTTTCTACATCTGTAGAGCTTTTGATGTGGCTTTTACCTTTCATTTTATTAAGGTGGTATGCCAAATTACTGACTTGCATATGTTGAATTATTTTTGCATTCCAGGAATAAATCTTATGGATAATGATGTATAATATTTTTAACATGCTGTTGAGTTCAGTTTGCAAGTAATTTGTTGAGAATTTTTTTTACACTAATACTCATCAGGGATATGGCTTTTAGTTTTTTATTCTTGAAGTTGCTTTATCTGGGTTTGTTATCAGGATAATACTGACAGGTAAAATGAGCTTAGGCGTGTTCCCTCCTCTTTAATTTTTAGAAGAGTGAAGATTGCCATTTAACTTTTCATTAAATGTTTGGTAGAATCTACCAGTGAAACCATCTGCTCTTGGGCTTGTAGGAAAACTTGTAGGAAAGTTTTTGATTACTAACTCAGTTTCCTTACTAGTAACTGATATATACAGATTTTCTCTTTCTTTATGATTCAGTCTTGGTAGATTGTATGTTTTAAGGAACTTTTCCACTACTTCTAGATTGTTCAGTGTTGGCTTAGGATTATTCATAGTAGTGTCTTATAACTCAAATATATTTCTATGATATCATTTATAATGTCTGCTCTTTCATTTCTGATTATATTTATTTGAGTCCTCTCTCTTTCTCTTCGTGAATCTAGATAAAGGTTTGTCAATTTTATCTTTTCTAAAAATCAGCCCTTTTGATCTTTTCTACTGTTTTCTTATCCCCTATTTCAGTTATTTCTGCTCTCATATTTATTATTTCCCTTCTTATACTAACTTTGGGCTTATTTTATACTTCTTTTTCTAGTTCCTTGAGGTGTAATGTTAGTTGTTTTGTCTGATAAAAGTGTAACTATCATTGCCTTCTTTGGTTACCATTTGCTTGGAATATTCTTTTCCACTTCTTCACATTTGGCCTAGGTGTGTCATTAAAGCTAATATGAGTCTCTTGTAGGCAACATATCATTGGATCTTGATTTTTTTAATACATTCAGCCATTCTATGTCTTTGATTAGAGAATTTAATCCATTTACATACATTTAAACTAGTTATCAACTGGTAACTTATTATTGCCGTTTTCTTTATTATTTCCAGACTTTTTGTAGTTCCTTTGTTCTTTTCTTCCTCTCTTGCTGTCTCCTTTGAGATTTGATGACTTTTCCTGGTGGTATGCTTTGGTTTCTTTGTCTTAATCTTTTGTGTTATCTACTACAGAGTTTTGTTTTTGTGTGTGTGTGGCTATTACGAGGCTTACAATGTATATAAGCTTACTAAATATATATAAGAAATACAACGTCCTATTTTAAGTTGGAAACAACTATGACAGCATACAGATATTATACTTTTGCTTCTCTGCTCTCACATTTTAGGTTTGGATGCCAAAGTATACCATTTTTATACTGTGTATCCAATAAAAATGGTTGTGGTTATAGTTATTTTTAATAAGAGTTGAAAGTGATTCATAGATCACCATTAGTATATTGGAGCATCTGAAGTTTACAATGTACTTAACTTCATTTTTGTTTTTTATATTCTTAGGTTCACATTGTCAATATCCTTTCATTTTACCTTAAAGAGGTCCCCTTAGATTACTAATTCGAATGGTAATGAACTCCCTCATTTTGTTTTTTGGGGGGAAATAAGTCTTCTACATTAGTGAAGGATGTTTTGCTGGGTACTTCTATTTGTCAGTGTTTTCTTTTTTTCTTCTTATAATATTTTGAATATATCATCCCATTCTTTCCTGGTCTGCAAAGTTTCTATTGAGAAATCCATCTTAAATGGAAAACCTTTTGTGTGCCAAATCACTTTCTCTTACTCCTTTCAAAATTCTCTCTTTGTCTTCAAATCTTGACAATTTCATTGTAATATGTCTTGGTGAATTCTTTTTCAGCTCAACTTATTTGGGGACTTTTCATCATCATGAATCTGGCTGTTCATTTCTCTCCCTAAGTTTGAAATGTTTTTAGCCATTATTTAAGTAGACCTTCTGTTGCTTTCTCTCTCTTTTCTTACTGTGACTTCTACAATATATATTTCAAATGATAGTCTGTTGAGAAATTTTGGAACAACAGAGACAGAGCCTGTTGGAAGAATTTGTATTTGCCTGCTTAATGCCCTACTGAAAAGTATACAACATTCAAATATTATTCAAACTAATTTCAAATATTTGATGATGAAATTTCTTTGTGAAAATCCAATCAATTTTATACCTACATTTCTGATTTTAATAGAGGCAATAGCAATTAAATTTTTTTTTCACAATTGAGTGACAGCTTTGAATGGAAATAATGTATTACCTTTTCATTATCATTCCAAGAGCAGAAATTAAGGACCGTAAGAGCTCATATGATGTCATAGATTCAATAAATGGTCCCTCTTTATTCACCGATAGAAACATTCAAATATGAAGCAAGCATGAAATGTTTCAAATATTGTAATTTGGGATATAATTCATGCTGAGAAAGACCACACAGTGATGTGACTCAAGAATCATTGAAAATATGCCCAATTAGTTAATCATACTACTTTGACACAATAAAAAAAAAAAAAACCCATTGTTTATAAACAAAGTGTCTAGAGGTAGTATGGGCCTACAAAAGCAAATTTAACACAAACCTGTAAAAACAGATGCCTATAAGCGAAAAGGTACCAGTACTATCAAGTGATATTTCAGGCAAGCTCCCATGGAGTCCTCTGGTCACCAACTTTGGATGAGCATCTTGAAAAATACCAAGAGAAATACTGTTGTGAAGTATGACCTGTTTCAGCCCGTGAATGAGAGCCGTCTGTCTCCCCCAAACAGCTGCACTTTGTCTACTCACTCATGGAACCGCTTTCACTCCAAAAACGTAAACCTCATCTATTTGCTGATCTCTTTAAGCTCTGCTTTATTACTGCAACAGATTGGGCCTTCAGGTCTACCTGACACAATTACAATCATTTTGAAAAGTAATTCTATAATAGCTATTAAAATCTATAAGCACAATTGATCTTCATCCCATTAGGCCCACTTTGAGGAATGTATCATAGAGAAATAAAACATCAGTATATCTGAACATATGCAAGTAGGTGTTCATTGGAGCTTTGTTTAAATGACCATGATGATTTGGATATTCATATACAGTAACAGATGCCTTCTGATGCAAAGAACTGACTCATTTGAAAAGACCCTGATGCTGGGTAAGATCGAAGGCAGGAAGAGAAGAGGACAACAGAGGATGAGATGGTTGGATGGCATCACCGACTCAATGGACATGAGTTTGAATAAAGTTCAGGAGTTAGTGATGGACAGGGAGGCCTGGGTGCTACCGTCCATGGGTCTCAAAGAGTCAGACATGACTGAGTGACTGAACTGAACTGATACAGTAACAGATGAACAATTATATTAAATGTCACCAAAAATTATGTATCTATGAAAAATAAGGACAACAATGGATTGTCAAAAGAGGGATCCCTGATATATTTTCAAACTTGGAGAACTTTAAATATATTCATATCAAGAAATGCAAACTATTTTCACCATTATTAGATTTAAATAGAGTTTAGTAGCAGTGACCAATATCACATGGCTTCTCAGCACAGTCAAAACATATGTATTTTTTTTTTTAGTTGGAGGCTAATTACTTTACAATATTGTGGTGGGTTTTGTCATACATTGATTCATCTATATTATCTTATGTGAAATAGATCGCCAATCCAGGTTCCATGCATGAGACAGGGTGCTCAGGGCTGGTGCACTGGGATGACCCTGAGGGATGGGATGGGGAGGGAGGTGGGAGGGGGGTTCAGGATGGGGAACACATGTATACCCAAGGCTGATTCATGTCAGTGTATGGCAAAAAGCACCACAATACTGTAAAGTAATTAGCATCCAATTAAATTAAATTAATTTAAAAACAAAAACAAGTTACAGACTGGAGAGAAAATATTTGCAAACTATATATCCAACAAAGAACTAGTACTTATAATATATAAAGAACCTTTTAAACTGAACATTAAAGAAAAAAACCTCTGTTATTTTTTGTAACTACAAGTGAGTCTATAATTATCTCAAAATAAAAAAGTTAATTTAAAAAGGTATGTAAATCCACTTTTCTTTGCCATAATTTTATCAAAGCTCTTTTCATCTCACTGTTTCGCAAGCTGTAGATCAGTGGATTCAGCAGAGGTGTAAGAAGAGAGTAAGCCAAGGACATTAGCTTCTTGGTTTCTGGGGAGTAGCCAGATTTGGGTTGTAAGTAAGTCATACTGGCTGTGCCATAGAAGAGGGTAACAGATGTAAGATGGGAGGCACAGGTGGAAAAGGCCTTTTGCCTTCCAGTGGTTGATGGCATCTTCAGGATGGCAAAGAGAATTCGAACATAAGACAAGAGTGTTAACAAGAAAGGAACCATAACAATCAAAATGGTGCCAGTGAATGCATAGATCTCAAACAAAAAGGTGTCTGCACATGCCAGCTCTAGCACTGCTGGAGTTTCACATGAAAGATGATTAATTTCATTGTTGCCACAAAAGGGAAAACTAAACACCCATGTGGTCTGCACAGTAGCCACCATGATCCCTGAGATCCATGAGAATATAATTAATTTCATGAAAACCCTTCTGTTCATAATCATTGGGTAGCTCAGAGGATGGCAGATTCCAACAAATCGGTCATAAGCCATTGCTCCCAGAAGAAAACATTCAGTCCCACCAAAAAGAAGAATGAAATACATCTGTGAAAAACAGCCTGCAAAAGTGATCATAGTTTTTTCATTGGAAAGGACCACCAGCATTTCAGGCATGATGACTGCACTGAAACCCACTTCCACCACAGACAGGTTCAGGAGAAACAGATACATGGGAACGTGGAGGCTCTGGTCCAATGAAATGACAACTATAATGATGGCATTTCCCATCAGAGTCACCAGGTAAATAACCAAGAAAACCTGGAAGAGCTGTCTTTGGAGTTCCTCAACTGGTCATGGCAAATTGTGTTGATACTAGCTTCACCATGGTCCATTCTTGTGAACCTCGATGACTTAAGAAAAAAACTTAAGTTTTGATAATTGTGAAACAGTGATTTTAATGATTCTTTCTCCCTCCCTCCCTCCTTTTCTCTCTCTCTCCCTATTCTATCACTAGGTTCATCAAAAAGTTCATTTCATTATTTCTTATTCAACAAACACAAAAAGAGCATCTACCATTTTCTAGGCTCAGTAATCTCTGGCAACTTTTGATTTCACAGCTCAACAAAGAGCTGACAACACTACATAAAATAGCATTTGACTCCTGGGTCGGGAAGATCCGCTGGAGAAGGGATAGGCTACCCACTCCAGCATTCTTGGGCTTCCCTTGTGGTTCTGCTGGTAAAGAATCCACCTGTAATGCAGGAGACCTGTGTTTGATCCCAGGGTTGGGAAGATCCCTTGGAGAAGGGAAAGGCTACACACTCCAGTATTCTGGTCTAGAGAATTCCATAGATTGTACAGTCCATGGGGTCCCAAACAGTCAGACACGACTGAGCAACTTCCACTCACTCACTCACATACCTCAGTACCTTCTAACTTCTATCATTTACAGCTTGCCCAACATCTCCAGTGTGAAAACTCCAGGAAGGCAAAGATTCTCTTTGTTCTTTGTTGTATTCACAATGTCTATAAGAATCCATGACCCATAATATATGCTAAATATGTGATGAATGCAGAAAACAAGAAATCGAGACAGTGTTTTAAAGGCATGGAGTATCAGAAAGAAAAATAACATCAGCACACCATCCTATTGGGAAGCAAAAGTGTTTTAGACATCTCAATGAGAAAAACATTACTTCTAAATGGAAAGGGAAAGTGAATAACCATAATTACAGGTGTCATGTGTGGAAGATACATCAGGTGGAAAGATCAAGACGTCAGTGAGACTGAATTGGTCAAGTAAAAAGGCATTTGATGACAACTTACACTAGAATCAAAACCTACTGATCATTGTATGATATCTTGAAAACCAGTGGAAGTTCACTGTGTCAGATGAAAAGGACAGAAAACAAGTCTTCAGTACAGATCAGTATCACACAAGCTAATTTATTCCTGTATTTGACCTTAATCATACATTAACATCAATGTCTGTATCATCCATAATAATTATATTTATATGTAAAGATTCTCCTAAATTTAGTAATTTAAACTGCAGGATCAAATACCTAAATTTCTAACAGAGAAAAAAATAATGTGTATTCAGTTCCAAATATTTTAAAGTGGATAGATTTTTAAACTAGAAAATTTAGAATATTATATACACAAAATGGAAAACTTTTAAAGGACTTTTTAAAAGCATGTTCATGATGGAAAGAGCAAATAACCACACATGATCCACATTTTATCTATAACTTAGAAGATCATAATCCTGTCTTGATAACTCTCTGACGTAGAATACTTGGGCAGATCACTCCATTTTCTAAGTTCGAGTCCTCCAACTGGAAAGGTAGGAAGTGGACTCATTTACCAAATTCCCTTTCAGTTGCAAAGTTCTAAGATTTGATGATTAGTGCATGAAAAGTACTTACATCTATAATTACTACCAAAAATTTTTCTCTGAAAAGAAAAAGGAATTGACCAGCATCAACATCAAAGAGTCTACCAATTCAAATGTTTGATCTGTGTCTAGTGACTCCTGAGCACCGAGACATCACTTCAGTAGCATTTCCAGCTATAAGATGAAGATGAATTGTAAGTGAAAATCTAACAAGCACACAGAAGAACCTTCACTTTTGTACCTACTGGCTCTGTCAATGTAAAGTTCACACTACTTTATTAGATATTTCACCTCCACTTAATAGCCACCTTCTCATAAATACAAGTCAGAGATTCTGTGCATTGATGCTATAACATTATATGACATTGAATCACATGCCCTGGAGAATCCACCCCTGGAGAACTTGCAATCACTTTATACATGCTTTCTTGTATTTTCACATGATAATTAAGGAGGTTTGAACTTGGCCCTTAACGTAAGAAAGCTCAAGAGGGCTAAACTGGAGCACCTCTCCTTTGTATTCCTACAAGGAACAAATACCTTCTAACACAAGAAACTCAGCTTCACCAAGACATCTCCCAACAGGAAGTGGAAACGACTGAATAAAGGATGAAAATGGGGAAAGGAGAGAGTGCGGGGAGAGGGTGTGAGCAAAGGCAGGTGAGCCAGAGGGCAAGGAATGATTGGATGGATTGTACAGTTAGTGCTGTGGTGGGAAATAAATTAGTATAAGTAGATAGTAAAATAAAAAGCATGGATGCCCTCTCACCCAACAAGAACTTTTTATCTATTGTAGTAGAAATATAGAGCCACTGAAAATTTTATGAGAAAAATGTGATTAAAGTTTATTTCACTGACAGAGTCTTTAAATCAGCAGTCAGAAAATCTGGACTAGCTTGTCCAATTTGAGCAAATCATTTAACTTTCCCGATTATATTACATTCTCTGTAAAATAATCATTAGCATTATTGATCTCCACTGCATATTTGTGAAAATCAAGGGACTCAAGGATGAGTCTAAACTGTCTTGTACAATTAAAGCCATTGGTTCAGTGCCAAAAGAGTGAAGAGTGAATGAATCTGCAGGTTTGACTTTGTCCAGAACTGGATGGTGAGTCTGGAATGCAGGTTCCCTTTGTCAACTTATTGTTGCTTTCCTGGTGTAGGTTGTTCCATTCTCAAGGAATCTCACCTTTCCTGGCAATTATAAGGCTGCCAACTACACTTAGAGTTTCGTTCCATCTAATCTCTGTCCCATGGGAAATGTCCCAGTTACTCTGAGGAGAAAGGATTTTCATTACAGAATCCAATCCAAGGAATGTTTCCATATCATTCACTATGTGGGATAACACCCTATTTATGAGCCAGTCATGTGCACTAGGCATGGGAGATGCTACTTAATATATGATTCATACCCCATCAATTCCATGGGGGCTTCTGAAATACTGAAATATTCTATTTCTTGCTGTAGGTGGTGGTAACACAGGTGATGTGCCAATTGTGAGAAGTCATCAATATGTAGAGCTATGATTTGCACACTTTCCTATGTGTACATTAGAATTCAATCAAAACTGTATAGAAAAATTACAGATACAAGCTAAAGGGGATAAAAAGGAAATAATATTAATATCAGGCTATATCTTAAAGGCAATAGTACTAAGGTGAAAAAAATAATAATCTGGATATTTAACAGAACTTCCTCAATGATTGACAGACAATATAGACAACAAAGACATAGAAATGAGAATATTTAATAATAAAATTTTTATTTATAAGATGATAAGGAGAGAGTAATTGTAAGTAAGAAACAACACACTTTATGTGGCTAACTATATTTTCCTCTTAAAACACTTATAAAATATTTACAAAAATTGATTATGTGTTTGTCATAAAGAAAACAATCAATAAATCCAAATTCTTGGTACTCACACACATAATACACTTTGCAATAAAACTTCAGAACAACAAATATAGTGAAAGGAAACTAAGGTCTTGGAAATTCAGAAACATTCTGACATTATCTTTTGCTAACTCAAAGTTGGACATGAACTATAGACTATTAAGAAATGAACTTTTATGTTAAATGACCAGATTTTCATTTATTAATGTCTTCAAAACTTTACTTCTAGTCTTGTCCTAAATTTTGTTCACCCTTAGCATCCCCCATTCCAGGTAGCAGTAGCTTAAATTTTCTAGTTACACAAACCAAACACCAAGGAGTCATCCTTGAATTCATTTCCACTGACCCGTCTCCAGCACTGCAGGCAGATTCTTTACTATCTGAGCCACCAAGGAAACACTTTCCCTCCCAGTTCAGTTCAGTCGCTCAGTTGTGTCCGACTCTTTGTGACCCCATGGACTACAGAACACCAGGCCTCCCTGTCCACCACCAACTCCAGGAGTTTACCCAAACTCATGTCCATTGAGTCGATGATACCATCCAACCGTCTCATCCTCTGTCATCCCCTTTTCCTTCCAACCCATAGTAAATCCATAATCTATCTAAAGCACTATGTTCTCAGTACGGTGTATCAAATTTGAACATTCTCACTCTTCTTAAAAGGGCTTCCCAGTTGGCTCATTGGTAAAGAACCCATCTGCCAATGCAAGAGATGTAGGAGACACAAGTTCTATTCCTGTGTTAGGAAGATCCACTGGAGGAGGAAATGGCAACCCACTCTACTATTCTTGCCTGGAAAATCCCATGGACAGAAGAGCCTGGCAGGGTACTGTTCATAGGGTCACAAAGAGCTAGACACAGCTGAGCAATTGAGCATGATCTCATTCTTCCTAAAGCTAATATCCTGATCCAAGTTCCTTTTGTCTCCCAGTTGAATTATTGCCATAGCCTCTGAACTCCCCCCTTCTTCCTCCCATGCCTCTGCTCAGTTCAGTTCAGTTCAGTCACTCAGTCATGTCCGACTCTTTGCAACCCCATGAACCACAGCACGCCAGGCCTCCCTATCCACCACCAGCTCCCAGAGTCTACCCAAACCCATGTCCATCGAGTTGGTGATACTATCCAGCCATCTCATCCTCTGTCATCCCCTTCTCCTCCTGCCCCCAATCCCTCCCAGCATCAGGGTTTTTTCCAATGAGTCAACTCTTCGCATGAGGTGGCCAAAGTATTGGAGTTTCAGCTTCAACATCAGTCCTTCCAATGAACACCCAGGACTGATCTCCGTTAGGATGGACAGGTTGGATCTTCTTGCAGTCCAAGGGACTCTCAAGAGTCTTCTCCAACACCACAGTTCAAAAGCATCAATTCTCCGGCACTCAGCTTTCTTCACCGTCCAACTCTCACATCCATACATGACTACTGGGAAAACCATAGCCTTGACTAGACAGACCTTTCTTGGCAAAGTAATGTCTCTGCTTTTAAATATGCTATCCAGGTTGGTTATAACTTTCCTTCCAAGGAG